CCTCGTATAAGTAATGGGAAATGAAATGAGGGCATCTTCAATTGCTGCATCATGAAAACAAGAAAGCGCTGCCGACAAATTCCAAATGCCTTTCAAAGGACAGGAGAGAAAAACCAAACCGGTGTTTGGTTTTTAACATTCTATCTAACTGGTGTCCTCTGTGAATGGTGCTTTTAGGTGCAGTGTTGTCATGGTGACACAGAAGCATCTCAGACTCTGCAACAGACAGACTAACCCTAACAGCAAAATATTCCACATGAAAGCCAACAGCTAGTGTGGATTGCTATATAGCTTTTACCCCTGATTATCAGAGTGGGGCTAGGAAACCATTAGCACTCTCGATCAAAGAGTTACAGATGCGTCGAAGATTATGGAAAATAGTCTGCCGACCCTACCTCTCTGCATACTGCAGTCTTTGCAAGTCTCAAACACTCACGTTGCACATTATCCATGTGATATGCAGAAACTACCTGCCGTTTGTAGAACTTTGGTTACTCCAAAGCCCTCTCTTGAGAGGCAAGTTCACAGGTTTTATTAATGAACTCATTGTTTTATTTATATTTCATGTCATGTAGCTACCTGTAACTGTACTTGGCTGGAACATAATATCATGCAGCTTGGGACATAGAGCGATCTCTAGTGTAGTGCCTTACTGCCCACCTGCGTCCTGTTGTCTCTCAACCTGCCACTCTGCCACTCTCCCCCTTCCGTTTGTTGTATCTTTCAAGTACAAAGCCTGAAGCTGAAGACACATGAAAGATACACTACATGAACAAAAGTATATGGACACCTGCTCGTCGAACATCTCATTCCAAAATCATGTGCATTAATATGGAGTTGGTCCCCCCTTTGTTGCTATAACAGCCTCCACTCTTCTGGGAAGGCTTTACACTAGATGTTGGAACATTGCTACGGAGACTTGCTTCCATTCAGCAACAAGAACATTAGTGAGGTCGGGCACTGATGTTGGGCGATTAGGCCTGGCTCGCAGCCGGCGTTCCAATTCATCCCAAAGGTGTTCGATGGGGTTGAGGTCAGGGCTCTGCAGGCCAGTCAAGTTCTTCCACACTGATCTTGAAAAACAATTTCTGTATGGACCTTGCTTTGCGCACGGGGGCATTGTCATGCTGTAACTGGAAAGGGCCTTCCCAAAACTTTTGCCACAAAGTTGGAAGCACAGAATCGTCTAGAATGTCATTGTATGCTGTAGCGTTAAGATTTACCTTCACTGGAACTAAGGTGCCTAACCCGAATCATGAAAAACAGCCCCAGACCATTATTCCTCCTCCACCAAACTTTACAGTTGGCACTATGCATTGGGGCAGGTAGCGTTCTCCTGGCATCCGCCAAACCCAGATTCGTCTGTCGGACTGGCAGATGGTGAAGCGTGATTCACCACTCCAGAGAACGCGTATCCACTGCTCCAGAGTCCAATGGCGGCGAACTTTACACCACTCCAGCTGACGCTTGGCATTGCGCATGGTGATGTTAGGCTTGTGTGCAGCTGCCCGGCCATGGAAACCCATTTCATCAAGCTCCCGACTAACAGGTATTGTGCTGACTTTGCTTCCAGGCAGTTTGGAACTCAGTAGTGAGTGTTGCAACCGAGGACAGACGTTTTTACGCGCTACAAGCTTCAGCACTCGGCGGTCCCATTCTGTGAGCTTGTGTGGCCTACCACTTCACTTTTTTTCTTTTTCATTTTTTTTCTTTGTATTTTTATATTTGTTCTTTTTTTGGGGGGGGGGGGGGGGGGGATCAGCTTAATATTGCAGATAGATTGTAACTTCCATCAATGTAATTGTCTGCATCACTTCCAACCCCCCATGTTTTATATATATATATACACATATAAACACATACACACACACACATACATACACACATACATACATACACACACACATACATACACACATACATACATACATACATACATACATACAGTGAGGGAAAAAAGTATTTGATCCCCTGCTGATTTTGTAAGTTTGCCCACTGACAAATAAATGATCAGTCTTTAATTTTAATGGTAGCTTTATTTGAAGAGTGAGAGACAGAATAACAACAACAAAAATCCAGAAAAACGCATGTCAGAAATGTTATAAATTGATTTGCATTTTAATGAGGGAAATAAGTATTTGACCCCCTCTCAATCAGAAAGATTTCTGGCTCCCAGGTGTCTTTTATACAGGTAACAAGCTGAGATTAGGAGCACACTCTTAAAGGGAGTGCTCCTAATCTCAGTTTGTTACCTGTATAAAAGATACCTGTCCACAGAAGCAATCAATCAATCAGATTCCAAACTCTCCACCATGGCCAATACCAAAGAGCTCTCCAAGGATGTCAGGGACAAGCTTGTAGACCAACACAAGGCTGGAATGGGCTACAAGACCATCGCCAAACAGCTTGGTGAGAAGGGGACAATAGTTGGTGTGATTATTCACAAATGGAAGAAACACAAAATAACTGTCAATCTTCCTCGGCCTGGGGCTCCATGCAAGATCTCACCTTGTGGAGTTGCAATGATCATGAGAACGGTGGGGAATCAGTCCAGAACTACGCGGGAGGATCTTGTCAATGATCTCAAGGCAGCTGGGACCATAGTCACCAAGAAAACAATTGGTAACACACTACGCCGTGAAGGACTGAAATCCTGCAGTGCCCGCAAGGTCCCCCTGCTCAAGAAAGCACATATACAGGCCTGTCTGAAGTTTGCCAATGAACATCTGAATGATTCAAAGGAGAACTGGATGAAAGTGTTGTGGTCAGATGAGACCAAAATCGAGCTCTTTGGCATCAACTCAACTCACCGTGTTTGGAGGATGAGGAATGCTGCCTATGACCCCAAGATCACCATCCCCACTGTCAAACATGGAGGTGGAAACATTATGCTTTGGGGGTGTTTTCTGCTAAGGGGACAGGACAACTTCACCGCATCAAAGGGACGATGGACGGGGCCATGTACCATCAAATCTTGGGTGAGAACCTCCTTCCCTCAGCCAGGGCATTGAAAATGGGTCGTGGATGGGTATTCCAGCATGACAATGACCCAAAACACAAGGCCAAGGCAACAAAGGAGTGGCTCAAAAAGAAGCACATTAAGGTCCTGGAGTGGCCTAGCCAGTCTCCAGACCTTAATCCCATAGAAAATCTGTGGAGGGAGTTGAAGGTTCGAGTTGCCAAACGTCAGCCTCGAAACCTTAATGACTTGGAGAAGATCTGCAAAGAGGAGTGGAACAAAATCCCTCCTGAGATGTGTGCAAACCTGGTGGCCAACTACAAGAAATGTCTGACCTCTGTGATTGCCAACAAGGGTTAAGTCATGTTTTGCAGAGGGGTCAAATACTTATTTCCCTCATTAAAATGCAAATCAATTTATAACATTTTTTACATGCATTTTTTTGGATTTTTTTGTTGTTATTCTGTCTCTCACTGTTCAAATAAACCTACCATTAAAATTATAGACTGATCATGTCTTTGTCAGTGGGCAAACGTACAAAATAAGCAGGGGATCAAATACTTTTTTCCCTCACTGTACATACATACATACACATTATCCTTAAAAATATATATATTCCCCTTTATTACTTTCCAATCCCGCCACCCTTTCCCTTCTTGGAGTAAACTAGTGAACAACAACGCTTAGGCCTCTAATTCCTGCTTATACTTACTATCAAAATTTTATGGACACAATCAATTTTACAATAATTATATTTTGTTTGTTTTTTCTCCTGAACTTCTTCTACTCTCAACCTCTCCGATCATTTTCATAATGTCCACCCGGTTTGCTTCTATATGGCATATCTTTCTAACTGTGCTCTTTCACAAAAGCTCCCAACCTACAACCTATATACTTATTATGGACACAGTATGCTTACATTATTAGTTATCTTGTTATTATTTGTTGTTAGTTGTTATTAGTCCCATCCTTCAATTCCATTCAACACCTCCCATCTATCTCTTAACACCATCCATATAGGATTTCTATTTGCCATATATATTTCAACTGTACTGTGATGTCTTACAAAAGTTCTGAACCTTTCTATTCTCATTGTTTCTACATATTGTGAATTGAAAATATTTTTTTTTGCTAAAAGTATTATTATATTATTGATCGATTGACTATGACTTTTCAGATCAGAGCCGTTGTTGCTCCTATACGTTTCCACTTAACAATAACAGCACATACAGTTGACCGGGGCAGCTCTATCAGGGCAGAAATTTGACGAACTGACTTGTTGGAAAGGTGACTTGTTATGACGGTGCTACGTTGAAAGTCACTGAGCTCTTCAGTAAGGCCGTTCTACTGCCAATGTGTGTCTATGGAAATTGCATGACTGTGTGCTCGATTTTAGCAACGGGTATGGCTGAAATAGCCGAATCCACTAATTTGAAGGGGTGTCCACATACTTTTGTGTATATATAGTATATATATCATAGGCTACAGTAGGCTACATTATACAATGTCCAGTGGCACACTGTCTCACCTAATGATGAAGATGAAGCCATAGGCTACTCACAATGATGGCCGATGCGCTCGTCGTGGCAGTAGCCTATCTCAAGATGAGCCAAATTCACTAATTTGAAGGGGTGTCCACATACTTTTGTATATATAGTGTACTGTATCTAGTATTTAGTGCCCCCTGCTTCTCTCGTTCTCTCTGTCTCGTTCTCTCTCTCTCTCTCTCTCTCTCTCTCTCTCTCTCTCTCTCTCTCTCTCTCTCTCTCTCGTTCTCTCTCTGCCACTCTCTCATTGCCTTCCCTGTCACATCAAGCTAAAACATGAAGCTTGCTGAAAGTCTAGCATGCCTCTCCGTTTCTATGTTTTTCCGTTTGTCCATTTCTCAGTTTCTTTGTTTTTCTGTCTGTTTCTCTCTCTGTCTGTCTGTCGATATGTCTGTGCTTAAAGTTGTCTAGTGTGTCCCTCTATTTCTCTCTGACTCTTTCTCTTTCTGTCTGCCATTCTCTCACTCCATTTCCTATCTTCCAGGTTCTTCAGTAACATTACGCTGAGTGGCCGGGACTACTCGTTCAACAGCGAAGGCTACCTGTCCAATCCAGTACTGGATGTGATTTCCTACACCGAGGGGAAAGGCTGGGAGGAGGTCAGTGAGTTAGCGCGCTAACCGCTAATTAGGTGACACGCTCGCTTACCTGGCTAACCACCATTCCACACCCCATTAAGTCTTGCTAACTCATCCTCACACACACACACACACACACACACACACACACACACACACACACACACACACACACACACACACACACACACACACACACACTCCCCTCATCTTGCTAACCGCGCAAACCGCACTATTACAGTCCATCGGATGTGCCTACTTACCCCTCCTTCAAGTTTTGTCAACCTTGTTAGCTTTCGTTAACAGGCAAACTAGACGTCTAATGTTTGTTCCCCCGAGAGAGAGAAAGCCCATGCTCTTACCTCAGCTCTCCATTCACTCCATTCCTGCTGTTTTCAACTAACCTTTCAGTACTCTGTATGTTTACCCACGTTTTTGCCTTAAGGCCTAGTGATCCCATGATATCCATCCACAATAACAATAATTTGTTCAGCATGAATCATGATATGCTTAACATGCCTCCATACAGTGGTGGAAAAAGTACTCAATTGTCATACTTGAGTAAAAGTAAAGATACCTTCATAGAAATGACTCAAGTAAAAGTGAAAGTCATCCATTAAAACACTACTTGAGTAAAAGTCTAAAAGTATTTGGTTTTAAATATACTTAAGTATCAAAAGTAAATGTAATTGCTAAAGTAAAAGTGTAAATCATTTCAAATTCCTTATATTAAGCAAACCAGATGGCACCATTTTCTTGTTTTTAAAATTTACGGATAGCTAGGGTCACAATCCAACACTCAGACATAATTTACAAACAAAGCATGTGTGTTTAGTGAGTCCACCAGATCATCAGTAGGGATGACCAGTGTGTGAATTGGGCCATTTTCCTGTCCTGTACTTTTGGGTGTCAGGGAAAATGAATGGAGTAGAAAGTACATTATTCTCTTTAGGAATGTAGTAAAAATAAAAGTTGTCACAAAGAAAATAGTAAAATAAAGTACAGATACCCCAGAAACCTACTTAAGTAGGACTTTAAAGTATTTTTACTTACAGTGGCTTGCGAAAGTATTCACCCCCCTTGGCATTTTTCCTATTTTGTTGCCTTACAATCTGGAATTAAAATGGATTTTTGGGGGTTTTGTATCATTTGATTTACACAACATGCCGACCACTTTGAAGATGCAAAATAATTTTTATTGTGAAACAAACAAGAAATAAGACAAAAAAAACAGAAAACTTGAGGGTGCATAGCTATTCACCCCCCCAAAGTCAATACTTTGTAGAGCCAACTTTTGCAGCATTTACTGCTGCAAGTCTCTTGGGGTATGTCTCAATAAGCTTGGCACATCTAGTCACTGGGATTTTTGCCAATTCTTCAAGGCAAAACTGCTCCAGCTCCTTCAAGTTGGATGGGTTCCGCTGGTGTACAGCAATCTTTAAGTCATACCACAGATTCTCAATTGGATTGAGGTCTAGGCTTTGACTAGGCCATTCCAAGACATTTAAATGTTTCCCCTTAAACCACTCGAGTGTTGCTTTAGCAGTATGCTTAGGGTCATTGTCCTGCTGGAAGGTGAACCTCCATCCCAGTCTTGTCACGTTCATTGAGTACAGGATTGGACCAAGGTGCAGCGTGGAATGCATACATGTTTATTTAATAATTAAACACCGACAAAACAACAAAAGCAACGTAACGTGAAGCTCACAATGGCTACACACAAACAAGAGTCAAGATCCCACAACATAGGTAGGCAAAATGGCTACCTAAGTATGATCCCCAATCAGAGACAACGATCGACAGCTGCCTCTGATTGGGAACCACACCCGGCCAACATAGATCTAAACATACTAGATCTACACATAGATATACACATTACATAGATACTCACACCCTGACCAAACCAACTAGCGAACTCTATGTCAGGGCGTGACAAGTCTCAAATCTCTGGAAGACTGAAACAGGTTTCCCTCAAGAATATCCCTGTATTTAGCGCCATCCATCATTCATTCAATTCTGACCAGTTTCCCAGTCCCTGCCGATGAAAAACATCCCCACAGCATGATGCTGCCACCACCATGCTTCACTGTGGGGATGGTGTTCTCGGGGTGATGAGAGGTGTTGGGTTTGCGCCAGACATAGCGTTTTCCTTGATGGCCAAAAAGCTCAAGTTTAGTCTCATCTGACCAGAGTACCTTCTTCCATATGTTTGGGGAGTCTCCCACATGGATTTTGGCGAACACCAAACGTGTTTGCTTATTTTTTTTCTTTAAGCAATGGCTTTTTTCTGGCCACTCTTCTGTATAGCCCAGCTATGTGGAGTGTACGGCTTAAAGGGGTCCTATGGACAGATACTCCAATCTCTGCTGTGGAGGTTTGCAGCTCCTTCAGGGTTATCTTTGGTCTCTTGGTTGCCTCTGATTAATGCCCTCCTTGCCTGGTCCGTGAGTTTTGGTGGGTGGCCCTCTCTTGGCAGGTTTATTGTGGTGCCATATTCTTTCAATTTTTTTATAATGGATTTAATGGTGCTCCGTGGGATGTTCAAAGTTTCAGATATTTTTATAACCCAATCCTGATCTGTACTTCTCCACAACTTTGTCCCTGATCTGTTTGGAGAGCTCCTTGGTCTTCATGGTGCCGCTTGCTTGGTGGTGCCCCTTGCTTAGTGGTGTTGCAGACTCTGGGGCCTTTCAGAACAGGTCTATATATACTGAGATCATGTGACAGATCATGTGACACTTAGATTGCACACAGGTGGACTTTCTTTAACTAACTATGTGACTTCTGAATGTAATTGGTTGCACCAGATCTTATTTAGGGGCTTCATAGCAAAGGGGGTGAATACATATGCATGCATCACCTTTCCGTTATTTATTTTTTAGAAATTTTTTCTTTCACTATTTTGTTTATGTCCATTACATGAAATCCAAATAAAAATTACAGGTTGTAATGCAACAAAATAGGAAAAACGCCAAGGGGGATGAATACTTTTTCAAGGCACTGTAAGTACTTTACACCACTGCGTCCATACTGTCAGTGTCAAGGTGGGCTAATCTGACCCAGTTGCAGCTGTATGATAACATGGTCCCTGCGGTATTGATCCTTCAGTTCATTTCCCATCTCCTCTGAGTATATTTACTGAAGGCTCTGGACTCAGATCAGTAGGGGAGAGTGAACAAGCAGTGGATGATTGAGGTCTAGGACCAGTTGTTGACCCCAGACCATTATATGATGGAAAAAGTCAGACCACTTATGATATACTGTGCGTTTATAGTCTACATAGATCCATAAGTACTGTAACATACTGTTCCCTATAGTATAACATAACCACTATTCCGAATATTAGGATAATAATATAAAAGTGTCTAATACATTGTTGCTAGTGATATTAGAACCAGACAACTTCAAGTGGCCCTGAAGGAGAACTGAGGAAATGGTGCTTCAGAAAACAGGGACTTACTTGAATTAATTGGAGAATTACTTCAACACAGGTCGCGGTCGCTTCTGGTTTTTATTTTCCCCAGTATGCAGTCTCCTATGTAAGCTTGACCGCCGAGACACTGAAACACTCTCAAGTGTTTAGTACATGCCACACTTACCACAAACTGGCGCGGTGAACAAAAGAGACACTGTGTCGCACAAAGGTTTCCTTTTTCCTATACTCTTTCTAAGTGGCTCTAAATGATCTCCTGCAGGTTGGCACGTGGCAGAACGGTGTTCTGGATCTCATCATCCAGCCCTTTTCACGCTACGGCTCCTTCCTCAAGCCGCTGGATGACACCCAGCACCTCAAGGTGGTCACCTTGGAGGAGAGGCCCTTTGTCATTGTGGAGCCCGCCGACCCAGGCACCAACTCCTGCATCCGGGACTCGGTGCCCTGCAGACTACCACTCAACACCACCAAGTAAGGCCTGCTACTGGGGCAGATGTTTACCATGACCGACCATGGTCTAACCATGCAGATGTTTAACCATGACTGACCATGGTTTAACCATGACCAACATGTAACCAACGTAGTTTAAATGTTTTAACTATCATAAGTGTAAAGGGACATTTCATTCAAAAGTCGTGGTAGGCCATGTTGCTCCTCATTATTCATATAGTTTATTGAGAGTGTGTTTCAAATACAATGCTTTACGCCACACTACCTAAAAAGGCCATAACTCTTAAAAGTATGATGTCACAGGGTTACATTTCCTCCCCTCGAGCCATTCAGGGAAAACAATTGCAGAGAATGTGTAAAGATTTAGCATCTGAATTGTGGTAAATAAATAATAACGCCTTTGAAATGTAAAAATTTCTTTATACACTGAGTGTACAAAACATTATGAACACCTGCTATTTTCCATGACATAGACTGACCAGGTGAATCCAGGTGAAAGCTATGATCCCTTATAGATGTCACTTGTTAAATCCACTTCAATCAGTGTAGATGAAGGGGAGGAGACAGGTTAAAGAAGGATTTTCAAGCATTGAGACAATTGAGACATGGATTGTGTGTGCCATACAGAGGGTGAATGGGCAAGACAAAATATTTAAGTGCCTTTGAATGGGGTATGGTAGTAGGTGCCAGGCGTACAAGTTTGAGTGTGTCAAGAACTGCAACGCTGATGGGTTTTTCACGTTCAACAGTTTCACGTGTGTATCAAGAATGGTCCACCACCCAAAGGACATCCAGCCAACTTGACAACTGTGGGAAGCATTGGAGTCAACATGGGCCAGCATCCCTGTGTAACGCTTTCGACACCTTGTAGAGTCCATGCCCCGATGAATTGAGGCTGTTCTGAGGGCAAAAGGTGGTGCAACTCCATAATAGGAAGGTGTTCCTAATGTTTTGTACACTCATAGAAATATCATTTGAACTATAAAAAGGTTTCAAACAAAACCTCAAATTTGATTGAAGTTTTTCCTTAAAGTAACTTTTTTGGGATGCAGCATAGTCTAACCAGTAAACACATGTGTTGCCTGTTTATCTCATTGACGTGCTGTTGTATATTCTCTCTTGTCCTCTCTTATAAACTCTCACTCAGTGTTTCACAGTCTGTCCTGGTCTCTAAAGGTCTGCTGAGTGTGTTGTGTGTTCCCAGTCTGTCTCTGAGAAGATGTCTGGTAACAAGACCTGCTGAAGGTTCCATCAATTATATTTGCTCAGGGAGATTGCCCCAGTTAATCAGCCTACTTTGAACATTCCATTAGAATCTTAAAACCTGCACTGACTGGTGGGTTATCATAATGGACATACAGGGAGGGACCACACATTGATATTTATCCAGTTAAAATTAGCTTTTGATCCACCATCAGGCTTTTTCTGTAGACATAAAGCTACATGCTTGGAAAGAGTCCACATATGTCCTGTTAAATTTCCTCGTCCCCTGCTGAGGGTAACCCACACAGAAAAATAGCATTTAATCCCGTTTTAATGCAGTCCTCCTTCTCCTTTCCTGTCTGTCCTGATGTGCCCCCCCTCTCTAAAACTGAGCAGTCAAACTACAGGCAGTATTGATCCAGCTACTACAGCTCTTGCTAATAATTCATACGTTCCTCCTTGGCCTTCTGTGTCTCCCTTCTGTTTCTCTCTCTCCTCTGCCTCCTGTCTCTCCCCTCTCCCTCCCTGTCTTTCTCTCCTTCCCTCCCCCGCTCTCTCTGTAACCACAGTGTGCCGGTGGATGAGAAATCGTCGAAGCACTGCTGCAAAGGCTTCTGCATTGACGTCCTCAAGCGATTGGCCAAAATAGTGGGCTTCTCCTATGACCTCTACCTGGTGACCAATGGCAGACATGGGAAGAGGGGGAGTGATGGGCAGTGGAATGGCATGGTCGGGGAGGTCAGCGGTCATGTATTTCTTCTTCTCTCTTTCTTTTCTCTCGTTCAAAAGAACGTATTCAAAAACATATTCAAGGGGTGCCATGCAATTCCTCCTTGAAATCCCCTAAAAGTAAACGTGGAGACAGAATGAGACCAAGAACTGTCAAATAGATTAATATTCCTATGGAGGAGTAACTCTGAAGTGTTTGGCTTGGAGTCTTGGGCAGATGTCTTGTTATTTCCAGGGAAGACAATCCCCCTCTGGGTGCTCAGGATTAATACGGGTGGTTAACAGAGAAGAGATGGGGATGTTAAGTGTAGCTCACACGCACAGTGACAGCTCAGCTAAGGGTGTGTTGTTGTGCTTACACAGCCACCGGGCTCCTGCTACCAGATGCAGGTGTCCCTTTTCCCCCGCTGCAAGGCTCCTCAGTCGCTTGACTCGCTCTCGAATCTCATTAACGTAACCATTTTACTACTGAGACAGCTGGAAGTGAGTGCCTGTGAACGTGAATGGGCCCGTTTTTTTCTGTTCCTAACTGCAGTTCCCCTCCCGCCCACCAGGTGGTTTATAAACGGGCGGACATGGCCATTGGCTCCCTGACCGTCAACAAGGAGAGGTCGGAGGCTGTGGAGTTCTCCGTGCCCTTCGTGGAGACGGGCATCAGCGTCATGGTCTCCCGTAGCAACGGCACCGTCTCGCCGTCGGCCTTCCTTGGTGAGCAGGGCTGACTAAGAGTTTATGAAGGGCTATGAAGGGCATATGATGTGCTATGAGGGGGCTATGAAGGGCCTATGATGGGCTGTGAAGGGCCTATGATAGGCTATGAAGGGTCTATGGTAACACACAACACCTGACACCCCAACCAACTTTATCCCCCATTAACAAGGAAAACCTTGATTTCTCTCTCTTGGTTTAGTATCAAAGTTGTCCAAGCAAGGTTTCACAGGCTTCTCAAATAAAATCCATAAACCTGTCTATATGTTCTTTTTTTCTTTATATTTTTTACTCATGTATTTTTCACTGTTGCCTTTGATGAAATTCTGTGTTCCAGTGGGCTATGCCGCCCCTCGATAATGAAGGGTGAAGATATTTAAGAGTAAAATATGTCTCTAAGGTAACGCCTCTACATTTCAAATTGCCTTAGCATAATTCTAGACTTTGCCCAACCATGTAGAGAGACTCAGTCTGCAGACAAGGCAGACATTTTAATCCTACAGTCATCGATTGAGATGTGATGGTATGTTTATATCTGCAGACAGATCTTAGATAATACAGTGTGAAACGCACCGGGGTAATGGCAACTCATCAGATATGACTCAGTAGTACACAGCAATCTGGCCATAGGAGACGGCTGTGCTGTAAGTAAAACAAGCTAGTTCAGACATGAACTCAAACAGCACAGACTGGATGTAGTCTTAGTTTCAGACACTCAAACAGCAAAGACTGTATATAGTCTTAGTTTCAGACACTCAAACAGCAAAGACTGGATATAGTCTTAGTTTCAGACAATCAAACAGCACAAACTGGATGTAGTCTTAGTTTCAGACACTCAAACAACACAGACTGTATGTCGTTCCCCCCCCTGAATGATTCATTTTAAACATGGACGTATATCTGTCTGTCAACTAAGATTTAGTAGACAATCTGGACATGTTCTGTATCCAATGGCTACCCAGAGGTTTTTTACCCCAAGGCAATTTAGTCTGAATCAAGGGTCACTGATTTGATGGTAACCTAAGGGTCCTTGGTTTGCTCTTAGTATGTATTAGCTGGCCAGAGCCCAGAATAATCTCTTGCCAAGAAAATATTGGGTCTTCAAGCCTGACTCTTTCTGTAAGGCTGTTTTCTTGAGACCATCAGCCATTTTCTCAACCATCTCGGTTTGACCGTAATATTTTTGATCTTGTAAGTTACTCCTCTATGACTAGGGTCAGACAGAATCTGAACCTCCAAAAATGATTTAAAGACAATTCCTTATTCCACTTGTGTAATATCAATAACCTCTTAATTTCATTACTATGCAATTACAGAGCAATTGCTTCATTACTTTGTAATAACACATTAATACAAGTAATTAGTTACTTCACAGGTATCAAATCAACATCATGGTACCACAAAACAATCCCTTTAAATTCCTCCTGTCTTTACCTATGACACGAGTGTAGTGGTTTGAGAATGGCTTTTTTGTAGAATTCCCTCCTTGGCTATGCTCCAATGTCAATGCTAGCAATACCACTTAGAATGCATGACTGTAATCTGTCTGTATAGTTAAACACACATCACTTGTTAGGGGGTTGCTGGGCCTTGTAAAAATGTACATACACAAATGCTCCACCACATACCCATATATATTTAATAAGGTTAGTAAATGCACAATGTGCATCCATTCTATATCAAAACTTTGTGCATTTACTAGCCTTATTAAAGGGATGAGGTGGAGCAATCATCTAATGCATGTCCAATACATTGTCTGTGTCCCAATGGCACCCTGTTCCCTATGTAGTGTGCTACTTTTGATGAGGGCCCAAAGGGCTCTACTAAAAAGTAGTTTACTACAGTGGGGTCCCAAATTATTGACACCCTTGATAAATATGAGCAATAATGACTGTATAAAATAAATAATTCAAATACTGAGCTATATTGTATTCCACCCCCAAAATATTGACACCCCTAAAGGTTCTTATAAATAATGTAGTCAAAAGTTTAGTATTTGGTCCCATATTCCTAGCATGCAATGACTACATCAAGCTTGTGACTCTACAAACTTGTTGGATGCATTTGCAGTTCGTTTTGGTTGTGTTTCAGATTATTGTCATTTTGGAGTCACTTTTATTGTAAAAATAAGAATAGAATATGTTTCTAAACACTTCTACATTAATGTGGATGCTACCATGATTACGGATAATCCTGAATGAATTGTGAATAATGATGAGTGAGAAAGTTACAGCGGGTCAAAGATCATACACCCAAGACATGCTAACCTCCCCTGTTATTGGTAATGGTGAGAAGTTAGCATGTCTTGGGGGTACAATCTTTGACCCGCTATAACTTTCTCACTCATCATTATTCACGATTCATTCAGGATTATCCACATTAACGTAGAAGGGTTTAGAAACATATTCTATTCTTATTTACAATAAAAGTGACTCCAAAAAGGCACAATACAATATTTACCATTATTTCTGTTGGGCACAAAATAATCTGAAACAAAACCAAAATGAACTGAAAAAGCATCCAACAAGTTTGTAGAGTCACAAGCTTTATGTAGTCATTGCGTGCTAGGAACATGGAACCAAATGTAGAATATGGGACGTAGAAAAATTGGGAAAGTATATTATTTTATACTAATGCAATTGCTCAGAGAAAGAGATTGCAGGGTGCTACTTTTGACGAGGGCCCGTAGGGTGCTGTTTGCTTAGCTTCATTCTAAGTAATAAGCTAGTGAGAACCTTGGAACAGAACCCTTGTCTTTTTGATGTGATATTTCAGAGCCGTACAGCCCAGCTGTGTGGGTGATGATGTTCGTCATGTGCCTGTCCGTGGTCGCTGTCACGGTCTTTATTTTCGAGTTCTTCAGTCCCGTCGGCTACAACCGCAGCCTGCAAAGTGCAAAGAGTAAGTCATTTATTACAGTATGGTCATTATTATTTCAGGTTATCACCTGAAGCAATTGAAGTAGTCGTGATGAGTTACATACTGGTGTGAGTAGTACCCTGGGATATTTATTTCCCATTCAATGTCCATTTCTTTCTTTCTTTCTCTCTCTCTCTCTCTCTCTCTCTCTCCTCTCTCTCTCTCTCTCTCTCTCTCTCTCTCTCTCTCGCTCTTCTCTCTCTCTCTTCTCTCGGCTCTCTCCTCTCCTCTCTCTCTCTCTCTCTCTCTCTCTCTATCATCTCTCTCTCTCTCTCTCTTCTCTCTCTCGCTCTCTCTCTCATGCTCTCTCTCACTCATTGTCTCTCCCACTCCCCCCTCTCTCTTCCCCCCGACCTCTCGCTATCCAGAGACAGGAGGCTCTAAATTCACCATAGGGAAGTCTATCTGGCTGCTGTGGGCTCTGGTCTTCAATAACTCAGTGCCTGTGGAGAATCCCAGAGGAACCACCAGTAAGATCATGGTGCTGGTGTGGGCCTTCTTCGCTGTCATCTTCCTGGCCTCCTACACGGCCAACCTGGCAGCCTTCATGATCCAGGAGGAGTACATCGACACTGTGTCTGGCCTCAGCGACAAGAAGGTGTGTGAGTGAGGAGAGCGTTCTGATCCAAGGCCAAGATGGCCATAATGTCTGTTTCCATAGCACAGTGATGCCTCAATTCTTCACACTTCTCCCAAAGTGTGCACTTGCACATTATTTATCTATGGATTTAAAAGCATTGAATTGGTGGCAGGGCCATATGTATGCAGGGGCTTACCAGGGCTGAAGCCCCTGGGCCCAGCCCCTTGGGGGGCCCAAGAGGAAGCAAACAATTATATATGTATACTGAACAAAAATATAAATGCAACATGTAAAGTGTTGGTCCCATGTTTCATGAGATGAAATAAAAGATCCTCAACATTTTCCATACTCACAGAAAGCTTATTTCTCTCAAATTTGGTGCACAAATTTGTTTACATCCCTGTTAGTGAGCATTTCTCCTTTGCCAAGATAATCCATCCACCTGACAGGTGTGGAATATCAAGAAGCTGATTAAACAGCATGATCATTACACAGGTGCACCTTATGTTGGGGACAATAAAAGGCCACTCTAAAATGTGCAGTTTTGTCACACAACACAATGCCACAGATGTCTCAAGTTTGAGGGAGCATGCAATTGGCATACTGACTGCAGGAATCTCCACCAGAGCTGTTGCCAGATAATTTAATGTTCATTTCACTACCATCAACCACCTCCAACGTAGCTTTAGAGAATTTGGCAGTACGTTCAACCGGCCTCACAACCGCAGACCACGTGTAACCACGCCAGCCCAGGACCTCCACATCCGACTCCACCTGCGGGATTGTCTGAGACCAGCCACCCGGACAGCTGATGAAACTGAGGAGTATTTATGTCTGTAATAAAGCCCTTTTGTGGGGAAAAACTCATTCTGGTTGGCTAAGCCTGGCTCCCCAGTGGGAAGGCCTGGCTCCCAAGTGGGTGGGCCTATGCCCTCCCAGGCCCACCCATGGCTGCGCCCCTGCCCAGTCATGTGAAATCCATAGATTAGTGCCTAGTGAATTGATTTCAATTGACTGATTTCCTTATATGAACTATAACTCAGTAAAATCGTTGAAATTGTTGCATTTTGCATTAATATTTTTGTTCAGTATAGTATATATTTTGTATTTTTTTATTGCAACCGCCAACCACAGAAGGACTCATTAGCCCGCTCTCAATGAGTGTAGACAGCCTGCTGCTGCCTGCTGCCGCTCTGCTAATCATCAGATGGGGGAGGAGAGAAGGTAGGGGGCCCACATGGGTAACTGGGGGGCCCTGCCTTTATTGGGTAACTGATTAATAAAATAAATATATATAAACTGCATAATAAATAAGTGTGACTGGTCAATTATGTGAGTCAGGGGCTGAAGAGGCAAAAAAAACTGGTGATATTTTTTGTATTATTAAATTGTTTTATGCAACCACCCCAGAGCATCATTTTGCCACAGAGGATCAATAGTTCATAAAAAATTATTACGGATAAATTTTTATCACACTCACATACAGGTACAGTACCTTCCAAAAGTATTCATCCCCCTTGGCGTTTTTCCTATTTTGTTGCATTACAACCTGTAATTTAAATGGATTTTATTTGGATTTCATGTAATGGACATACACAAAATTCCACCAAGCAAGGGGCACCATGAAGACCAAGGAGCTCTCCAAACAGGTCAGGGACAAAGTTGTGGAGAAGTACAGATCAGGATTGGGTTATAAAAATATCAGAAACTTTGAACATCCCACGGAGCACCATTAAATCCATGATTAAAAAATTGAAAGAATATGGCACCACAACAAACCTGCCAAGAGAGGGCCGCCCACCAAAACTCACGGACCAGGCAAGGAGGGCATTAATCAGAGAGGCAACAAAGAGACCAAAGATAACCCTGAAGGAGCTGCAAAGCTCCACAGCAGAGATTGGAGTATCTGTCCATAGGACCACTTTAAGCCGTACACTCCACAGAGCTGGCTTTACGGAAGAGTGGCCAGAAAAAAGCCATTGCTTAAAGAAAAAAATAAGCAAACACGTTTGGTGTTCGCCAAAAGCCATGTGGGAGACTCCCCAAACATATGGAAGAAGGTACTATGGTCAGATGAGACTAAAATTGAGCTTTTTGGCCATCAAGGAAAACGCTATGTCTGGCGCAAACCCAACACTTCTCATCACCCTGAGAACACCATCCCCACAGTGAAGCATGGTGGTGGCAGCATCATGCTGTGGGGATGTTTTTCATCGGCAGGGACTGGGAAACTGGTCAGAATTGAAGGAATGATGGATGGCGCTAAATACAAGGAAATTCTTGAGGGAAACCTGTTTCAGTCTTCCAGAGATTTGAGAATGAATCCTCAATCCAATTGAGAATCTGTGGTATGACTTAAAGATTGCTGTACACCAGAGGAACCCATCCAACTTGAAGGAGCTGGAGCAGTTTTGCCTTGAAGAATGGGCAAAAATCCCAGTGGCTAGATGTGCCAAGCTTATAGAGACATACCCCAAGAGACTTGCAGCTGTAATTGCTGCAAAAGTTGTCTCTACAAAGTAATTTTCATCATAGGTACACGTCAACTATGACAGACAAATTGAGAAAAAAGAATCCAGAAAATCACATTGTAGGATTTTTAATGAATTTATTTGCAAATTATGGTGGAAAATAAGTATTTGGTCACCTACAAACAAGCAAGATTTCTGGCTCTCACAGACCTGTAACTTCTTTAAGAGGCTCCTCTGTCCTCCACTCGTTACCTGTATTTATGGCACCTGTTTGAACTTGTTAACAGTATAAAAGACACCTGTCCACAACCTCAAACAGTCACACTCCAAACTCCACTATGGCCAAGACCAAAGAGCTGTCAAAGGACACCAGAAACAAAATTGTAGACCTGCACCAGGCTGGGAAGACTGAATCTGCAATAGGTAAGCAGCTTGGTTTGAAGAAATCAACTGTGGGAGCAATTATTAGGAAATGGAAGACATACAAGACCACTGATAATCTCCCTCGATCTGGGGCTCCACGCAAGATCTCACCCCGTGGGGTCAAAATGATCACAAGAACGGTGAGCAAAAATCCCAGAACCACACGGGGGGACCTAGTGAATGACCTGCAGAGAGCTGGGACCAAAGTAACAAAGCCTACCATCAGTAACACACTACGCCGCCAGGGACTCAAATCCTGCAGTGCCAGACGTGTCCCCCTGCTTAAGCCAGTACATGTCCAGGCCCGTCTGAAGTTTGCTAGAGTGCATTTGGATGATCCAGAAGAGGATTGGGAGAATGTCATATGGTCAGATGAAACCAAAATATAACTTTTTGGTAAAAACTCAACTCGTCGTGTTTGGAGGACAAAGAATGCTGAGTTGCATCCAAAGAACACCATACCTACTGTGAAGCATGGGGGTGGAAACATCATGCTTTGGGGCTGTTTTTCTGCAAAGGGACCAGGACGACTGATCCGTGTAAAGGAAAGAATGAATGGGGCCATGTATCGTGAGATTTTGAGTGAAAACCTCCTTCCATCAGCAAGGGCATTGAAGATGAAACGTGGCTGGGTCTTTCAGCATGACAATGATCCCAAACACACCGCCTGGGCAACGAAGGAGTGGCTTCGTAAGAAGCATTTCAAGGTCCTGGAGTGGCCTAGCCAGTCTCCAGATCTCAACCCCATAGAAAATCTTTGGAGGGAGTTGAAAGTCCGTGTTGCCAGCGACAGCCACAAAACATCACTGCTCTAGAGGAGATCTGCATGGAGGAATGGGCCAAAATACCAGCAACAGTGTGTGAAAACCTTGTGAAGACTTACAAAAAACGTTTGACCTGTGTCATTGCCAACAAAGGGTATATAACAAAGTATTGAGAAACTTTTGTTATTGACCAAATACTTATTTTCCACCATAATTTGCAAATAAATTCATAAAAAATCCTACAATGTGATTTTCTGGATTTTTATTTCTCATTTTGTATGTCATAGTTGACGTGTACCTATGATGAAAATTACAGGCCTCTCTCATCTTTTTAAGTGGGAGAACTTGCACAATTGGTGGCTGACTAATTACTTTTTTCCCCCACTGTAAATTCTACAAGTGGACCTAAACCATGCCAGGAAATTGCACCCCACACCATAACATACAGTATACTTTGTATCCCTTGTTTACTCAAGTGTTTCCTTTATTTAGGCAGTTACTGGTATGCCTACAGTCGGGAAAAAAGTATTTGATCCCCTGCTGATTTTGTACGTTTGCCCACTGACAAAGTCATGATCAGTCTATAATTTGTATGGTAGGTTTATTTGAACAGTGAGAGACAGAATAACAACAAAAAAATCCAGAAAAACGCATGTCAAAAATGTTATAAATTGATTTGCATTTTAATGAGGGAAATAAGTATTTGACCCCTCTGCAAAACATGACTTAGTACTTGGTGGCAAAACCCTTGTTGCAATCACAGAGGTCAGACCTTTCTTGTAGTTGGCCACCAGGTTTGCACACATCTCAGGAGGGATTTTGTTCCACTCCTCTTTGCAGATCTTCTCCAAGTCATTAAGGTTTCGAGGCTGACGTTTGGCAACTCGAACCTTCAGCTCCCTCCACAGATTTTCTATGGGATTAAGGTCTGGAGACTGGCTAGGCCACTCCAGGACCTTAATGTGCTTCTTCTTGAGCCACTCCTTTGTTGCCTTGGCCGTGTGTTTTGGGTCATTGTCATGCTGGAATACCCATCCACAACCCATTTTCAATGCCCTGGCTGAGGGAAGGAGGTTCTCACCCAAGATTTGACGGTACATGGCCCTGTCCATCGTCCCTTTGATGCGGTGAAGTTGTCCTGTCCCCTTAGCAGAAAAACACCCCCAAAGCATAATGTTTCCACCTCCATGTTTGACGGTGGGGATGGTGTTCTTGGGGTCATAGGCAGCATTCCTCCTCCTCCAAACACGGCTAGTTGAGTTGATGCCAAAGAGCTCCATTTTGGTCTCATCTGACCACAACACTTTCACCCAGTTCTCCTCTGAATCATTCAGATGTTCATTGGCAAACTTCAGACGGCCCTGTATATGTGCTTTCTTGAGCAGGTGGACCTTGCGGGCGCTGCAGGATTTCAGTCCTATACGGCGTAGTGTGTTACCAATGGTTTTATTGGTGACTATGGTCCCAGCTGCCTTGAGATCATTGACAAGATCCTCCCGTGTAGTTCTGGGCTGATTCCTCAAAGTTCTCATGATCATTGCAACTCCACGAGGTGAGATCTTGCATGGAGCCCCAGGTTGAGGGAGATTGACAGTTCTTTTGTGTTTCTTCCATTTGCGAATAATCGCACCAACTGTTGTCACCTTCTCACCAAGCTGCTTGGCGATGGTCTTGTAGCCCATTCCAGCCTTGTGTAGGTCTGCAATCTTGTCCCTGACATCCTTGGAGAGCTCTTTGGTCTTGGCCATGGTGGAGAGTTTGGAATTTGATTGATTGATTGCTTCTGTGGACAGGTGTCTTTTATACAGGTAACAAACTGAGATTAGGAGCACTCCCTTTAAGAGTGTGCTTCTAATCTCAGCTCGTTACCTGTATAAAAGACACCTGGGAGCCAGAAATCTTTCTGATTGAGATGGGGTCAAATACAGTGGGGAGAACAAGTATTTGATACACTGCCGATTTTGCAGGTTTTCCTACTTACAAAGCATGTAGAGGTCTGTAATTTTTTTTATCATTAGGTACACTTCAACTGTGAGAGACGGAATCTAAAACAAAAATCCCGAAAATCACATTGTATGATTTTTAAGTAATTCATTTGCATTTTATTGCATGACATAAGTATTTGATCACCTACCAACCAGTAAGAATTCCGGCTCTCACAGACCTGTTAGTTTTTCTTTAAGAAGCCCTCCTGTTCTCCACTCATTACCTGTATTTACTGCACCTGTTTGAACTCGTTACCTGTATAAAAGACACCTGTCCACACACTCAATCAAACAGACTCCAACCTCTCCACAATGGCTAAGACCAGAGAGCTGTGTAAGGACATCAGGGATAAAATTGTAGACCTGCACAAGGCTGGGATGGGCTACAGGACAATAGGCAAGCAGCTTGGTGATAGGCAACAACTGTTGGCGCAATTATTAGAAAATGGAAGAAGTTCAAGATGACAGTCAATCAACCTCGGTCTGGGGCTCCATGCAAGATCTCACCTCGTGGGGCATCAATGATCATGAGGAAGGTGAGGGATCAGCCCAGAACTACACGGCAGGACCTGGTCAATGACCTGAAGAGAGCTGGGACCACAGTCTCAAAGAAAACCATTAGTAACACACTACGCCGTCATGGATTAAAATCCTGCAGCGCACGCAAGGTCCCCCTGCTCAAGCCAGCGCATGTCCAGGCCCGTCTGAAGTTTGCCAATGACCATCTGGATGATCCAGAGGAGGAATGGGAGAAGGTCATGTGGTCTGATGAGACAAAAATTGAGCTTTTTGGTCTAAACTCCACTCGCCGTGTTTGGAGGAAGAAGAAGGATGAGTACAACCCCAAGAACACCATCCCAACCGTGAAGCATGAAGGTGGAAACATCATTCTTTGGGGATGCTTTTCTGCAAAGGGGACAGGACGACTGCACCGTATTGAGGGGAGGATGGATGGGGCCATGTATCGCGAGATCTTGGCCAACAACCTCCTTCCCTCAGTAAGAGTATTGAAGATGGGTCATGGCTGGGTCTTTCAGCATGACAACGACCCGAAACACACAGCCAGGGCAACTAAGGAGTGTCTTCGTAAGAAGCATCTCAAGGTCCTGGAGTGGCCTAGCCAGTCTCCAGACCTGAACCCAATAGAAAATCTTTGGAGGGAGCTGAAAGTCCGTATTGCCCAGCGACAGCCCCGAAACCTGAAGGATCTGGAGAAGGTCTGTATGGAGGAGTGGGCCAAAATCCCTGCTGCAGTGTGTGCAAACCTGGTCAAGACCTACAGGAAACGTATGATCTCTCTAATTGCAAACAAAGGTTTCTGTACCAAATATTAAGTTCTGCTTTTCTGATGTATCAAATACTTATGTCATGCAATAAAATGCAAATTAATTACTTAAAAATCATACAATGTGATTTTCTGGATTTCTGTTTTAGATTCCATCTCTCACAGTTGAAGTGTACCTATGATAAAAATTACAGACCTCTACATGCTTTGTAAGTAGGAAAACCTGCAAATCGGCAGTGTATCAAATACTTGTTCTCCCCACTGTACCTCTTTCCCTAATTAAAATGCTAATCAATTTATAACATTTTTGACATGCGTTTTTCTGGATTTTGTTGTTGTTATTCTGTCTCTCACTGTTCAAATAAACCTACCATTAAAATTATAGACTGATAATTTCTTTGTCAGTGGGCAAACGTACAAAATCAGCAGGGGATCAAATACTTTTTTCCCTCACTGTATAATCCATAGAAGGGTTTTGTAACTTCTTACCCTGGCAATTTGACTGTTAAACTCATGGGTACACTAGCAATGGATGCCAGTCCAGAATTGAACTGCCATCTATGGATTATATTTCTATGGTTGGTTGCGGTTGTCGGTTTGCCTTTTGCAGATTCTAATCTTTCTGTAGAACCAATAGAAACACATTTTTCTCAACAACTCAACAACAGCAGCACTGTTTTCCAAAAAATTGCATAATGTAGCCTACTGTAGCCTATGATATATACACTATATATACAAAAGTATGTGGCCACCCCTTCAAATTAGTGGATTCGGCTATTTCAGCCATACCCGTTGCTGACAGGTGTGCAATCTCCATAGACAAACATGGGCTGTAGAATGGACTTACTGAAGAGCTCAGTGACTTTCAATGTAGCACCGTCATAGGACGCCACCTTTCTAACAAGTCAGTTTGTCAAATTTCTGCCCTGCTAGAGCTGCCCCGGTCAACTGTAAGTGCTCTTATTGTGAAGTGGAAACTTCTAGGAGCAACAATGGCTCAACCGCGAAGTGATAGGCCACACAAGCTCACAGAAGGGGACCGCTGAGTGCTGAAGGGCGTAGTGCGTAAAAATCGTCTGTCCTCGGTTGAAACACTCACTACCGAGTTTTAAACTGCCTCTGAAAGCAACGTCAGCACATTAACTGTTCGTCGGGAGCTTCAAGAAATGGGTTTCCACGGCCGAGCAGCCGCAGATCAAGCTTAAGATCACCATGCGCAATGCCAAGCGTTGGCTGAAGTGGTGTAAAGCTTGCCGCCATTGGACTCTGGAGCAGTGGAAACATATTTCTCTGGAGTGATGAATCACACTTCACCATCTGGCAGTCCGACTGACAAATCTGAGTTTGGCGGATCCCAGGAGAACGCTACCTGCCCCAATGCATAGTGCCAAATGTAAAGTTTGGTGGAGGACGAATAATGGTCTGGGGCTGTTTTTCATGGTTCGGGCTAGGCCCCTTAGTTCCAGTGAAGGGACATTCTAGACGATTATGTGCTTCCAAATTTGTGGCAACAGTTTGGGGAGGGCCTTTTACTGTTTCAGCATGACAATGCCCCCATGCACAAAGCAAGGTCCATACAGAAATGGTTTGTCTAGATCGGTGTGGAAGAACTTGACTGGCCTGCACAGAGCCCTGACCTCAACCCCATCGACTGCGAGCCAGACCTAATGCTGTTGTGGCTGAATGGAAGCAAGTCCCTGCAGCAATGTTCCAATATCTAGTGGAAAGCCTTCCCAGAAGAGTGGAGGCTGTTATAGCAGCAAAGGGGGGACCAACTCCATATTAATGCCCATGATTTTGGAATGAGATGTTTTTGGGACATGTAGTGTATATACTGTATATATATTTCCTCCTAACATTGTGCAATCTGTGTGTCGCTTCATTGGCCTGGGCTATTGTTTGTTTGAATTCAAGACCAGATTGTTTTCAGTTTGTCAGTGAGAGTAGCCACTCATTTCAGTCATTTGTGTGGTATGAAAACATATTCAGCTAATGTCTTCTTTATTTATGCATTGATCCATCTCTAACTTTCATTCCTCTCAATTCTCTCCCTTTCTAAAGAACTCTGTAATAAAAATGCAAGGAGAGCGGAATTCTGTTCACTTTGGGGGGAGAAGAAGAAACAGTTTTTACATGAGATCTAAGGAAGTTGGGTGGACACTGGACAGCACATCGAGATGCAGCCAAAAATCACAAGAACATCTCAAAAGATAGATGCTCAACTTGCTGAGTTGGTGTTGGAGATTTTAGCAGCAATCTTTTCAAATGTTCTTACATTTTGGCAGTTCTTTGATTTTTGACATGTTGCTTGAGGTATTGTCCACCTGTCCAACTTCCTTAGATCACTATGCATGCATTATTTACGATGTAATGTACTCTTGTCACTCAACTCTTACCCTGAATTCCCACATCAACCCCTAGTTCCTCCTCTATCCCCCCAGTTCCAGCAGCCCACTGAGCAGTACCCCCCGCTCCGATTTGGCACCGTCCCCAACGGGAGCACGGAGGAGAACATCCGCAGCAACTACGCCAACATGCACAACTTCATGATCCGCAACAACCAGAAGGGAGTGGAGGAGGCCATCGACAACCTCAAGACTGGGTCAGTTTGTGTGTTTGTGAAGATGACATCCCGTTCATTTCATTGCATTCAACCAGGACCATATTCATTAGACACCAAACGGAAGAAAACAGACTGAAACACTTTCCGTTGTGTGCCCTAATGAACATGACCCAGCATAGCAACCTCTTAGCAACACTTATCTCCCCATGCGGTCCTGTCGTACTGTATGTGTGTTTATGTCTCTCTGCCGGTGTTTATAGTGCAAAATACTGGATTAATTTGGCTTACATTAGATAAAACATACACTTATCATGTTGGAAGCATTAGAGTAGTTATAACAAATTGTGCGCCTCATGCAGAGGAGAGACACTTAATCACTTCCCCAAGACGACTTGACCACCAGCAGCTTATTCCTCACCCGGACTCTCAGTTATCATCTCACCCTCATCTCGTCTTCTCTGTCTCCCCTCCCTTCCTCCCCTCCAGTAAACTAGATGCCTTCATCTATGATGCGGCTGTGCTAAACTACATGGCGAGGAAAGACGAGGGCTGTAAGGTGATGACCATTGGCTCGGGCAAGGTGTTCGCCACCACGGGCTACGGCATCGCCCTGCATAAGAACACCCGCTGGAAACGCCCCGTGGACTTGGCCCTACTGCAGCTGGTGGGAGACGGTGAGGAGAGAGAAAGGAGTGGGAGAGAGAGGGACGGGGGAGAGAGGGGTTGGGGACAGGCAGGAGAAGTTTATAAATGTGCTGGCTTGTTAGTGGCAGGCTGGCAGCATCAATCTGTCTAAGATTTGTTTTGTTTCCTGCAGTACCTACTGCTTAATTCAGTTTAATGCTGTACACATTCACAGTTTTACAGTTTGTCCTACATACTGTACATTTTAAAGTAGACCTACATAGTATGTCTTACAGTAGGCCTACATACTGTACATTTTACAGTAGACCTACACTACTGTTCAAAAGTTTGGGGTCACTTAGAAATGTCCTTGTTTTCCATGAAAACATACATGAAATGAGTTTGAATAGGAAATATAGCAAAATGAATTGGAAATGTAGTCATTGACAAGGTTAGAAATAATGATTTTTAATTGAAATAATAATTGTGTCCTTCAAACTTTGCTTTCGTCTAAGAATCCTCCATTTGCAGCAATTACAGCCTTGCAGACCTTTGGCATTCTAGTCGTCAATTTGTTGAGGTAATCTGAAGAGATGTCACCCCATGCTTCCTGAAGCACCTCCCACAAGTTGGATTGGCTTGATGGGCACTTCTTACGTACCATAAGGTCAAGCTGCTCCCACAACAGCTCAGTAGGGTTGAGATCCGATGACTGTGCTGGCCACTCCATTATAGACAGAATACCAGCTGACTGCTTCTTCTCTAAATAGTTATTGCATAGTTTGGAGCTGTGCTTTGGGTCATTGTCCTGTTGTAGGAGGAAATTGGCTCCAATCAAGCACCATCCATGGCGTTGCAAAATGTAGTGATAGCCTTCCTTCTTCAAGATCCCTTTTACCCTGTACAAATCTCCCACTTTACCACCACCAAAGCACCCCCAGACCATCACATTGCTTCCACCATGCTTGACAGATGGCATCAAGCATTCCTCCAGCATCTTTTAATTTGGTCTGCGTCTCACAAATGTTCTTCTTTGTGATCCAAACACCTCAAACATCCCAGAGTTGCCTCTTCACTGTTGACGTTGAGACGGGTGTTTTGTGGGTACTATTTAATGAAGCTGCCAGTTGAGGACCTGTGAGGCGTCTGTTTCTAGACACTCTAATGTATTTGTTCTCTTGCTCAGTTGTGCACCACGGCCTCCCACTCCTCTTTCTATTCTGGTTAGAGACCGTTTGCGCTGTTCTGTGAAGGGAGTAGTACACAGCATTGCAATTTCTCACATGGAATAGCCTTCATTTCTCAGAACAAGAACAGACTGACACATTTCAGAAGAAAGTTATTTGTTTCTGGCCATTTTGAGCCTGTAATCGAACCCACAATTGCTGATGCTCCAGGAACTAAATTTGTCTCAAGAAGGCCAGTTTTATTGCTTCTTTAATCAGCACAACAGTTTTCAGCTGTGCTAACATAATTGCAAAGGGTTTTCTAATGATCAATTAGCCTTTTAAAATGATAAACTTGGATTAGCAAACACAACGTGCCATTGGAACACAGGACTGATGGTTGCTGATAATGGGCCTCTGTATGCCTATGTAGATATTCCATAAAAAATCATGGTGGTGGAAAACACTGTCTCAGGCGCCGCGCCAGAATCTCCCATAAGTGTTCAATGGTTGAGATCTGGTCTGAGACGGCCATGGCATATGGTTTACATCGTTTTCATGCTCATCAAACCATTCAGTGACCACTCGTGCCCTGTGGATGGGTGCATTATCATCCTATGGGGGCATAGTCATGGTAGCCAAAATATTGGCCAAAATAATGGTCTGCCCAGCATTTGTATGCATGACCCTAAGCATGATGGGATGTTAATTGCTTAATTAACTCAGGAACCACACCTGTGTGGAAGCACCTGCTTTCAATAGACTTTGTATCCCTCATTAGCTTTTTATTTTATTGATTTTTTATATAATTAACCTTTATTTAACTAGGCAAGTCAGTTAAGAACAAATTATTATTTACAATGACGGCCTACCCAGGTCAAACCCTCCCCTAAACCGGACAACGCTGGGCCAATTGTGCGCCGCCCTATGGGACTCCCAATCACGGCCGGTTGTGATACAGCCCAGGATCGAACCCGGGTCTGTAATGACGCCTCTAGCACTGCAGTTACCTGTATGTCTTAGAGTAGTCCTACATACTCTGTTTTACAGGAGGCTTACCATACTGTAAGACAGTAAATTCATGTTGAATGTTGGTTTTATTAGGGGTGGTTTTGACCCAGATTAAGCCTTAACATGGATTTCAATGGTGATTCTCTATTTAACATGCCTTTTAGTCCATGAGTACTTTAGGTTTAATCTGGGTCTGTGCAACCACCCCAGAATGTTTCACTAATCCTTACATCATAAAAGATCTTAAAGATTCCATACATGTATTCTCAAGTACGGTGTCATACTTTGTATTGCTAATGTTACAATTGGGACTTTTTCTTCATAATACATATTTTTTCCTGTCACTCATTTGCTCTGGTTCTGTGATTAAAGGGTGGTGTTATTCCTTCGATAGTGCCGAGGATGTTGCAGCTCTGTCTCAGTTGAGCAGTCTTTGTAAAGATGTCAAAGCAGCTTTATGAAGCCCTGGGTTTGGCTGCTGTCATGATTAAGGATGGAATGTGCAAGAGAGCGGGGACGGAGGTGCTTATTGAAATATGATGAATGAGATTAGGAGTCTGTCACAGTTTATGATCATGCAAATTAGCATCCATTGTTAAAAACACAATTGGCAGTGAAGTATAGTGAAGTTCGTGATCTAACACTCGCACTTGACTTTTTCCCCCTACTAGCACTGACTTTGCTGATAGATACTTTATTGAGGAAAAATGTTCTTACAATGACTGAGATAGTGTATGTGGTTGTCCCACCTAGCTACAGTGGGGAAAAAAAATATTTAGTCAGCCACCAATTGTGCAAGTTCTCCCACTTAAAAAGATGAGAGAGGCCTGTAATTTTCATCATAGGTACACGTCAACTATGACAGACAAATTGAAAAAAAAATATCCAGAAAATCACATTGTAGGATTTTTAATGAATTTATTTGCAAATTATGGTGGAATATAAGTATTTGGTCACCTACAAACAAGCAAGATTTCTGGCTCTCACAGACAGGTAACTTCTTATTTAAGAGGCTCCTCTGTCCTCCACTCGTTACCTGTATTAATGGCACCTGTTTGAACTTGTTATCAGTATAAAAGACACCTGTCCACAACCTCAAACAGTCACACTCCAAACTCCACTATGGCCAAGACCAAAGAGCTGTCAAAGGACACCAGAAACAAAATTGTAGACCTGCACCAGGCTGGGAAGACTGAATCTGCAATAGGTAAGCAGCTTGGTTTGAAGAAATCAACTGTGGGAGCAATTATTAGGAAATGGAAGACATACAAGACCACTGATAATCTCCCTCGATCTGGGGCTCCACGCAAGATCTCACCCCGTGTGGTCAAAATGATCACAAGAACGGTGAGCAAAAATCCCAGAACCACACGGGGGCACCTAGTGAATGACCTGCAGAGAGCTGGGACCAAAGTAACAAAGCCTACCATCAGTAACACACTACGCCGCCAGGGACTCAAATCCTGCAGTGCCAGACGTGTCCCCCTGCTTAAGCCAGTACATGTCCAGGCCCGTCTGAAGTTTGCTAGAGTGCATTTGGATGATCCAGAAGAGGATTGGGAGAATGTCATATGGTCAGATGAAACCAAAATAGAACTTTTTGGTAAGAACTCAACTCGTCGTGTTTGGAGGACAAAGAATGCTGAGTTGCATCCAAAGAACACCATACCTACTGTGAAGCATGGGGGTGGAAACATCATGCTTTGGGGCTGTTTTTCTGCAAAGGGACCAGGACGACTGATCCGTGTAAAGGAAAGAATGAATGGGGCCATGTATCTATATACTCCCCTTTATTACTTTTCAACCCCGCCATCCTTTCCCTACTTGGGGTAAATTAGTGAACAACAATGCCCAGGCCTCTACTTCCGGTCTATACTTACTATCTACACCTTATGGACACAGTCAATTTTACAATAATTCTATTTTATTTGTTTTTGCTCCTGAACTTCTTCTACTCTCAACCTCTCCGATCATTTTCATGATGTCCATCCGGTTTGCTTCTATATGCCATGTCTTTCTAACTGTGCTCTTTTCCAAAAGCTCCCAACATACAACCTATATACTTATTATGGACACAGTATGCTTACATTATTAGTTATCTTGTTATTATTTGTTGTTATTTGTAATTAGTCCCATCCTTCAACTCCATTCAATACCTCCCATCTATCTCTTAACACCATCCATATAGGATTTCTATTTGCCATATATATTTCAACCGTACTGTGATGTTTTACAAAAGTTCTGAACCTTTCTATTCTCATTGCTTCTACAGATTGTGAATTAAAAATAAACATTTTTGCTAAAAGTATTATTATATTGTTGATCGATTGACTATGACTTTTCAGATCACCCAGTAATGCTATCTGCAAGGTTAGCTCCAGGTAAATATTGTAATCCTTTAGCCATTCCTGGACCTGTGTCCAAAAACAAGCTACAAATGGACAGAACCAAAACAAATGATCTAATGATTCTGTCTCTTCACAGAAAAATCTGCAGAGCTGGGAAGATTGTATCCCCCATATAAATAACATTCTATTGGTAGCAAGAATTTTATATAATAATTTAAATTGAAAGATTCTAATTTTTGAATCCGGTGTAGTTTTGCGTGTCAGTTCATAAACACTATGCCATGGGATCGGTACGTCAAAAATCTCTTCCCAACTATTTTGCAATCTATATGGGACGGCTGTCAATCCTTTGGTCCTTAAGTGAAACTGATATACTTTTTTATTTATCACAGTTTTCCTTAACCAATTATGTTCTTTAATGCAAGGCCGACGCCAGGACAGCGGAGTCACTCACCACCTTCCGGAGACATTTGAAACCCCACCTCTTTAAGGAATACCTGGGATAGGATAAAGTAATCCTTCTACCCCCCCCCCCTAAAAAAATAAAAAATAAATTATAAAAAAATATATATTAAAAAATATATACAAATTTTTTTTATTGTAAAGTGGTTATCCCACTGGCTATAGGGTGAATGCACCTATTTGTAAGTCGCTCTGGATAAGAGCGTCTGCTAAATGACGTAAATGTAATGTAATGTAATGTAATGTAAATGCCGACAGACAAGTTCCGTACTTTCTCCCCCTTCCACTTTCCTCTTCCACTTTTGCGGTAAGGCTGCAATTATTTGGTTGTAATTTTGGGTAGAGCAGACATTTCCATATGTTTTTGTTAGCTCCACCAGTCCTACCGATGATATCATTTACGATGATTATACCTTTTTTAAACATTCTGTCAAAAAATAAAGGTTTTTTGTCAATTAGTATATTTGAATGTAACCACAATATTTGTTGCATTATTTGTTATGTCGTTTCTGGAGGATTAAATTGAAATTGCAACCAACTTTCTATGGCTTGTTTTAGAAATAGTGATATTTGGGAGATGATTTCCTTTTCAAATAACTGAAAATGAGTTGTTGTAATCTGAATAAAGGGGAAAAGGCCATTCTTGAACATTGGGTGAGACAATCTTACTAATTTGCTTGAGAATTGTGGTCCTCTGTAGCTCAGCTGGTAGAGCATGGCGCTTGTAACGCCAAGGTAGTGGGTTCGATCCCCATGGACCACCCATACACAAAAAACATATATATATTATGCACGCATGACTGTAAGTCGCTTTGGATAAAAGCGTCTGCTAAATGGCATATTATTATTAGAACCAATTTCAGATTTAAGTATAACTTTTGTATGACTGAAGCTTTTAGTGATAGGTCTAATGCTTTAATATTTAATAATTTCTGTCCTCCGAATTCATATTCATTATATAAATAGGCCCTTTTAATTTTGTCTGGTTTGCCGTTCCAAATAAAATTGAATATTTTTTTCTCATATAATTTTAAAAACTGTTCACTAGGCGTAGGCAAGACCATAAGCAAATAGGTAAACTGGGATAATACTAAAGAGTTAATCAGGGTGATTTTTCCACAAATTGACAGGTATTTACCTTTCCATGGTAGTAAGATCTTATCTATTTTTGCTAACTTTCTATTAAAATGTATTGAAGTGAGATCATTTATTTCCTTTGGGATATGTATTCCGAGTATATCCAATGTTTTTGTTAGGTAGATTCCTTTTTATTGAGTTTTATTGGAGTGGATTATGACATTCCAGTCAACATGGTTAATTCCTGTTTTTCTAATCCATGTAGTTTGGGCTTTACAATGGGATTTCCAACACAGGGGGCAGTTAACTTAAGGTTAATATAGTTTAATGTTTCACTGTTATAACTCTGATGACCAGGGATTTTAAAACATCCTTTAAGAAGCTACTCTTGCAATGCAGGGGGCTTTAGCCGTCAGACGTGGCTGTCATCTCAATACATGTTGTCTGTTCTCCGCTGAGCACAAACTCTGGGTTTTCCTCCATTTTCCCTTCACAATGTAACAGTTGTTTTTGATATATGGAACTAATGGTTAGTGTCGGGAGTCCTATTAGTGCCCGCTACCTTTCATCTGTCAGGGTCACTCTTAGCACAGGAGACTCTGTATCCAGGCCATTTCAGACCTCCATCAAAGCTGTGCAGCTTCTCTCTCTCTCTCCCGCTCTCCTCCTCTCCCCCTCTCTCTCTCTTTCTCTCTCACACACACACACACACAGGCTCACTCTCTCACATTCCTGCTCCCCCCGACACTATTTTCAAAATGTTCAGCGTTCTTTTTGCCATCGTACAACAGCTCTGAGCCAGACACACATTCACCCCTCCTCCTTACCTCTCAACTATTACCTTCCCAGCTTCCCCCTTAAGGTAAACAACACTGCATGTCCAATAACAAAGGCTGATAATCCCTTCTTGTCGTTTTTTATTTCCCTCCCGTCCCCTCTTCTCCCAACGCCAGACGAGATCGACATGCTCGAGCGCCTGTGGCTTTCGGGGATCTGTCACAACGACAAGATTGAGGTGATGAGCTCCAAGCTGGACATTGACAACATGGCGGGGGTCTTCTACATGCTGCTGGTGGCCATGGGGCTCAGTCTGCTGGTGTTCGCCTGGGAGCACCTGGTGTACTGGAAGATCAGGCACTGCCTGGGCGGCTCCGGTGGCATGGACTTCCTTTTGGCCCTCAGCAGGGTGAGTTACTGACTGAGTGGTGGTAGTGGTGGTAGTGATGCCCCCTGGTGGTGGTAGTGGTGGTGGTGGTAGTGATGCCCCCTGGTGATGGTGAAAGGGAAAGAGCTTGGTGCATCAATACATCACATGTTTAGGCAGTACTGTTCAAAAGGTAGGTCCTTCTATCAAAATAGGCTGTATTACTTCAATTAATTCAAGTATGCAGTGACCTTGTTTAAAGGTGACCAAGTCAAAATGGAGCCTAATTTTCTTTTGTGTTTTCTTACTGCTGCGTTCTACGCTGATGTTCCCGGGATATGTCAGACTGTGACTCCCGCTTTCAATTTCAAAGAATGTTGATTCATGTGCTCAACGGACTATGTTGATTCATGTCCATCAGATTTGTGTCCTCCCGATAATTCAGATTTAGTGGGATGACTCTTGTTTTTCATTAAGACGTATTGGTATTGAATGAATCACCTTCAAGTAAAGGTGATAAAGCTGTTATGATTTCCATGGCCCCGCCATTCAACACACTTAACCGATAATTGTAGCCTAGCAGTCTTTTAAGGCAGTAAATGACCTGTATTAGACCTGTCATAAGTTCATCTTCTGCCCTCATTAGAATTTTGTGGTCAGTTGCCTCCTTTCCCAGAGTACAGAGTAGAGAGAGATTGCATAGAGCGGCATCCACAATATTCATGGCACGTCACATTCTATGCTAGAGGGGAGATTATAATTTTAAAAAGAGTCAGTTCTGACTTACTGTTTGAGCAGTGCAGTGGGAGCTCCAGAGTACGCAGCACACTAGGTGGTAGTTTAAAAAGATCCTTTGAACTGAAGCTTGAGTGCACTGTAATTGCAGACACTGAGGTAAGTGTATGCAGACCTCTATGGGGACACATTTCTGCTACATTTCTACCACAACATATGTAACCTATTTTTACGAGACTTTACGAGACTCATGAGTTTTTAAGCGACTTTCAGTATCAGTATTCCCATCTAGGGATACTGGGATGTGTAGTTTGCTAGCTGTATCCTAATTAGCTTTCCCTTCTATCTCTACCCAGGGTATGTACAGTTGCTGCAGGTTTGAAGATGAGACCATCTCTGGAGGCCTCAAAAACACACTTCCCCTATATCAGAGTGTTCCCACAATGCCACCTCCACCCCAATCCCACATCTCAGCAGCTGTAACCTGTAACACTACTCTTGTCATGGTGCAGCAGCAGCAGATGCATCATCACCAGCAGCAGCAGCAGCAGCAGCAGCAACAACAAGCATACAGCATGCTTCCTGGTGCATCTCCTCCAACTACTGGGCACTCTGCAATGGCCCTTGGGCCATCAAACAGTCCCCTTTTGGAGGGTCCTATGCCGTGCTCCACTTTTCTGCCTCGCCATGACCGCAGATTGGCTGTTGTAGACCGCTGGAACCGTCCCAAGCCCAGCATGGACAAACCTATTGGTGGCAGCGGTGGGATCCCAGACATGGCACAGTTTCAACAGGGCTTGCCCCCTCATTGGGCTGGGGGAGCCAGTGGAGGGGACGGGGGCCTAGATGAATACAAGCGATACTATGGCCCGATCGATCCAGAGGGCTTAGGGGCAAATGCTGACCCACAAACAGGTGGCTCCCAAACCCCCAAAATGAACCAGAGGGGGACAAAGTCCTCAGGAATGCCACGGCTACCTTCTAAAGGACCGCCCCCTGGGCACTTAATGTCCAAGCCCCCTCTACTGCTCCCCTCATCCCCACATCGGCCGCCATTTTGGAGAAGAGGCAGCCTCCCGAAAAGAAAGGGCTCCGGGGGGCCTCTGTATGAAAACATCCTCCCCTTGGGGAGAAGAGGGGGAGGGCGGTACGGCGCAAGGGATGGAGGTGGCAGACGAGGCCGTCACCCTCCCCCACTCCCATTGCCTGTTCCTGTCTCGTCCCCTGCCCACACTACCCCTACCACTCCCTCTCACTCCGCCCTCTACACCTCCAGCTCCTGCTCCTCCACCTCATCCAGTTCATCCTCGTCCTCATCCTCCATCTCCCTCTCACGCTCCAACTCACCCACATCCTCCACCACCTCATACACATCGTCACAAAGTTTTAAGTACAGGGCTGGCAGTAGGGATGTCGAGGACGTCTATGACACTGATGAGCTGACGGAGGAGTCTAGCCTCCTGCTAGGACGGAGAAAGGGCAAATCCCGACGCATGTCCTCTCGCTCACTGCCTTGCAGTCCACCCCCTCCGCCTGTCCCACCCCGCAAGCCTTGTCTACAGTATGAGAGAGAGAGGGCTGGGAGCCAGCTAGCCCAGCTGCAGGAGTGGTGGACCTCCTGGGGCGAGAGAGAAAGACGCAGAGGAACAGGAACCACGGCTGAGGGGAAGGAGGAGAAACGGCATCACAAAGAGAGAGAAAGGGAGAGAAAGAGAAGGAAGAAAGGCCGGAAGAAAAAAAAGAGAGAGGAAAAGGAGAGAGAGCGGGAGCGCAAGCGGCATAAAGTGAAAAAGAAGAGGAAGAAAGAGGAGAAGTTGAAGAGAAGAGATCAGGGCAAGCGATCAGAGCACGAGGAGGGAGATGGTGAGAAGAGAGGGCAGCTCAAAGCGATAACGCAAGAGGCCTACTCCTCCTACCCTGCTCTGAGGCGTGACTCTATGCGGAAAAAGAGTGAAAGTTCTATCAGAAGTTACGGATGGGATATTCCACGGGATGAAGAGAGGAGAGAGAGAGAGGATAAGGAAAGAGATGATGGAGAGGACACTAGAGGGAAGGAAAGGCACAGAAGTCCTTACTCTCGCCACAGGCATGCAGGTAGGCCTTCCAGTTCCAGCAAGCAGTACCAGAGCTCCAGTAAACCCTCAACCGCTGTCAAATTCTGGGGAGCGGGAAACCCATCGTCAGAGACTCCTTCATCTGCATTTCTACCACTGATCCCTCTCTCATCCATACGCAGGAGTAAGGGTTCAGATAGAGAGGCCCTAGGGAAAGAAGGGGAGACGTGCCCCCTTTTGGGCAGGAATGAGAGAGTGGAGGTTCACTCCAAAGAAGGTCTGTCGTTTCATGAGTGGGATTCCGAAGATGAGGATGAAAAGGAAAGGAGAAAAGTGGAGCAAGAGAAGAGACATGAAAGAAGAAGAAGGACTGCATCAGAGTCCGAAAGGGAAAGTGATAAGATGGTGGGCATCTATTCAGACAACGACGGCTCCTCGGGAGAATTTGGAAAGTTCGAAAGGTACTGGGAGGGTCATGAGGGTAGAGCGGTTGGGGGAATAGGAGGGGGAGGTTGGTTTTTCGGCACTTATCCCGCCAGAGAAAAAGCAGGCAGCATAAACAGTAGGGATGACTCGTTATTGGGGCGTGGGGAGGGATGGGGCGGAGCCGGGGGAGCCGGGGAAGGTGGCTGTGGATCAGGTGGAACCTGGGGTTCAGGGAGGATAGGTGGTACACAGTGGCCTCCACCTCCATTGACCACACCAGCTCCTCGAAGATACTGGTCCGTGGACAAGCTTCCCGTGAAGGAGGAGAAGAAAGAGAAACGGAAGGTCAAGGTCAAAGGGCGAGGTTTTGTGGCTTGCAACTGCCAATCTGCCCTCGAACATCAACACGCTCACTCTAAATGGGCCAGGGTGAGCTCTCGTAGCCAGGAAGAACTATTTCTACACTGTCAAAGCTTCGTGAGCAGCGCCAATTCCAAACGGCATTCCTCCAAACCCAACAGGACCCAGAATCAACCCAAATCGGGAAGCCAGTCCAACCTCAGCATCCAACGGACGGACCGCATTCGACAGCCTTCTACATCGCAGGCCCTCATCCCCTCCCTCCCTCCACCAACACTCCCAGCCCTTCCTGCCCCTCCCTCCTCATCCCATCCCATCCACATCCCTCCTCCGAACTCCTCCTCTTCAGTCTCATCTCCCTCTGTAGTATCCTCCACCCCAGGTGCCCCCCAGCCGTCTTCTATGGCTTCTGCTAGTGCCAAACTCCTGTACCAGAGACTGCGCTCAGTGCCCATGCCCCAAAGGTTACAGTCACCTCACCTGCCCCTCAAGGCCAAGAGCCTCTGCTCACGGAGGGGGTCCGCACACTTCTCCAGTGTGGAGAGCGAGGTGTGAGGTGAATCAAAGACACCTAACTGGATAGGAACCGCTGACCTATTCAGAAACCTTGGGTCATGACTGTGCGGCAACTGCAGTCCTGTAACTCTTGCACAACCCCCATTGTCCAGTCAGAGGGAGTGCACAGCAATGTCATGTTTACTGGGACTCTCTTCATTCTGGTCAGAGTATCTGTAAGACTACATGTGTTGTTGGTAAACTGAAATTGGTTTTAGAAGTGGGATCTCAGAAATGGGTCCGTCCTACTGACAGGGCGTGTCTTTGGATCTTGAAGTGAAGTGGTTATTATTGTTCAATTATATTTTCTCATGAGGGCTCAGGTACTCATTCATAGGCCTCCCTACTGAGGGCTCCAATGCAGAAACATTTGACTTACATCCCTAAACATTAACCTCCAACGTTCCTTTACCAAACTGTTTACACCTCACAGACCTGTGAAATCTGAGGTCATAGTTGTGTATGTTCTATGTTTCACGTTTAGGGAGAATAGAATAGTAGCTAGCCCTCTCTGTTTCCCCATTCACCTCTCAAACTCATATTTGATATTCTGTGTGTCTGTGTTTTACCGTGTTTGTATTCTTGACAACAGGGTAAGTCGACTGTGACTGATCTTATACTGTGCCAAACTTCAGTGGAGCTTACATATAATGCTGTTTCATTTATACCATAGGTACTCCCCCATTCATGTCCCTCTTGAGCAATACATTACCTGCAGACCAACAGTTCATGCATTTTATATTTTAAAAGGTTATTTTACTATAGTGTTATTATAAATTGAGACAAATGTATTCATTATGACAAAATGTAAGCACTGTGCTGTACTATATTGGGTACACGCAAAATGTTTTCAACTACCTGACGTCATTGGCAGCATCCCCCCACCCCCCACCCCCCCATAAAACAGAATGTAGCCTTGACCTAGTCTGCTGCAACTATAAAGACACTTTAAGATTGTAGCATTTTGGGGGGGCGGGGGCGAGGGGGCCGACTATGTACAAAACCATTGTGTAAATGCTAGATGGAATTGTCGGACATGTGGCCACACAGGTGGTCAGAATTCATTCTCTTTGTCCCAGTAATGATGTCAACATGATAGGTGCCTAAAGGATGCTACCAGAGATGTGTTTGTAAATCCGTAATCAAGAGCTAGATTATTCATAGCAATTTGACAGTAAAGCTGATACCTGCACAGTCAGATGTACTTTCAAATCAGCCAGTTTTCCACCAACCTTTAGCATTAGCAACAGGAAGTTGATTAGCGGAGAGTGAATACTGTTACCACTTTTTGTACATGTTGTCAGTAACCCACAAGGCTAGTTCCATCTTCTCCATATAGTCTGTTTAGCTCATTAATCTGCCTGTGACTGCATCTGAGCCATACTTCAGCTGAAGAAAAAAAGAGTAACCTAAGTTAACACAAAATTGTTGTGTAAAGTTTATCTGCATTTCTTTGAATATCTAGATATATATCACATATGTATTTGTGGAGTTGGGTAGTGTTAGAGAAATTGTTGTTTAGCATCTTGATATGGGGATATTGTTTATCATTCCAGTGCCATTAGAGAAGATATGAATATTCCATGTGAAGAAAATATCTCCCTTTTTTCACCCACAACTTGGAGCACTCTTTGTTGCCAAAAGTATAGGTTTTCATTCTTAAAACTTGGGTAACCCAAGAGCGATAGGAACACAATGGAAGCAGTGCTTTGCTTGTTACAATCAACAGCTTACAAGAATCCAATGAGGAAGCTAACCGTGGGTGAAATGTTACCTGCCAAGGTATTTGTACCACAAATTAACGAACATCTCTGCCCCTTCTCCTTATGTCTATTTGTTGTGTTGATGAGTGTCTGCAATTGTAAACCGTTCCTATTTTTTATTAAGTATCTGTGAATATTTCGTTAATCTCAATAATAGCATATCTATATATAATAATATATTTCAAAGGTAAGATCTTATATGTTAAGTTTGTCTACTAAATTTAGAGTATTATCTATGAAGCTGTCTTTTTGTCTGTCCTCCCTTGTCTCAAAACCCAGTGAAATCAGAGACCAGTACCTAACTGTGTTCTTACCGACCATCGACCACGATTAGTTAACAATGATATTCGCAATGTGACGGAGGTGTGTGTCTGACGACCGTGTCACTGTAGTAGTGTGAGTTTGGGCCTTGGCTGTAACACACTATTAATAACAATTTGATTATAAGGTATTTTACCAGGGCATAGTCTGCCCAATAACACCACTGTCTGGTGAGATACTGGGCCTGGATTTCAACTGGACCAATGAGTTGAAGTGTACAGCGACTTCTTTAATCACCGAAACTCAATGCAGCCTAGCGGGCAGCAGCAGGCTTTTTTGCGTCATGCAGCAGTATACTATCCATGGTGAGCCATACCAGGACTGTGGTGTGTGTTCCCTCTCTGCAAAGCTGCGTCTGTCATGCTGAAATAAACAGAAACACACTGTGTTCCTCCATAATAATCCCCACTGTAGCGCCCCGTCCGGCGCTGTCTCTGTCAGCTAACCCTGCGCAGTCTTTACTACACACTGTGTCCAGACGGACTTGCACTGCGTCACTGTGTGAGAATCAATGTGCCAAACTGGGGCAGAACACAGTGTTTACGTTGGCTGCCGCACCACTGAAAAGACAATACTGTGCTGTACTGCAAGCAGAACAGAATAAAAATAATTTTCGTATTAAAACCTCTTCCGTCCATTTATATTTTTCTTTCTGTCGGGGTGCGGGAGGGATGATTGGGAAAGCGTGGAGAGAGTGAGTTATCTGTTCACATATCTCCATGAGCACATGTGCAGAATACAATCTGTCCTTAGAAAATAATTGTTGTTACACTGCAATTACAGTATACAGTACAATTGTCCGTTATTGCAATACAAAAGTTATATCACCACTTAAAATTATATCACTAATTTCTCTAATATTGAGTGAGTCTACACTGAATTCATTCACAGCATGTTTATTGTGTAACATATGTATGTAATGCATGTTAACGTATTCTGTTCTATGTATAGATGACAGAACACTTGTCATATTGGCTGAACAGCCTGTTCACTCTCCTGTTCCTACTAGACAAACTAGAGCAGAAACCAGGCCAAAGTAAACCCTGACAGTGCACAGGAGTTAAGAGACAGGAAAAGAGAAAGAGAGAGAGAGATACACATGAAGAGGAGAGGGGAAAAGAGAGCGAGAGATACACACGAAGAGGAGAGGGGAAAGAGAGAGAGAGAGAGAGAGAGAGAGAGAGAGAGAGACACACACAAAGAGGAGAGGGGAAAAGAGGGCGAGAGATACACACGAAGAGGAGAGGGGAAAGAGAGAGAGAGAGAGAGAGAGACAGAGACAGAGACAGAGAGAGAGACACACACAAAGAGGAGAGGGGAAAGAGAGAGAGAGATACACATGAAGAGGAGAGGGGAAAGAGAGAGAGAGAGAGAGAGAGAGAGAGAGAGAGAGAGAGAGAGAGAGAGAGAGATACACATGAAGAGGAGAGGGGAAAGAGAGAGAGAGATACACATGAAGAGGAGAGGGGAAAGAGAGAGAGATACACATGAAGAGGAGAGGGGAAAGAGAGAGAGAGACACACACACAAAGAGGAGAGGGGGAAAGAAAGAGAGAGACACACAAAGAGGAGAAGGGGAAAGAGAAGGCTAGAATCCAAGAAAGACATGAAGAATTTAAATGAGACGGAAGGAAGAGGGGGACTTTGACAGATAGAGAGAAGGGCTTAGAGACATGTGGGAGAGAAGGGGGAGGGGGGGGGGGGGGTAAAGAGATGTAGAGAGAGGTGGAGAGGTGTAAAGAGTGTGAAGGGCAAGAAGCTGACAGAGAGCTAGAGAGATAGACATGGGGAGAGATATAGATCCATGGAGACAGGTCTATGGATTCTTTCAACCTCATTGGTTCTTCCTTCATTACTTTTTAAAAGACCTCTCATCCCAAAACCTATTCAAGCAAAGTTCTGAACTGAACATTCAGCAACACTGTTGTTGATGATTTGACAACATCCATTTGGCATCAACTCACTCTGGGAAATAAATTAACACACTATCAATAGTAATACAGTATTCATATTCTCCTCACAAACATCCTCTTATAAACCTCACACTTAGCATACTACATGAGAATAACTACAGGATACATTTAAAAGAGGTCTAATAATTTACAGGCTATTAGCTTGAGGTGTATTTTCTAAATATTGGCCATTATGAGGAGCTGAAGAGCTTGTTAATGAGTCCGCCATGTAAAACAGGCATTGGTATGCAATTAGTGTTGTGTTCCTGCCTGGGAGACCAATACTACATCACAGCTCCCTGCCTCTGTGAGTGAGGTTGAAGAAATTTGGCTTGGCCCCAAAGACCCTCAAGAACCCTCACAAACGTCTACAGATGCACCATTGAGAGCATCCTGTCAGGCTGTATCACTGCTGTATCACCTGGTACAACAAGTGCACCATCCGCAACCGCAGCTCTCCAGAGGGTGGTGCGGTTAGCCCAACGCATCATTGGGGGCACACTGCCTGACCTCCAGGACATCTACAGCACCACCCTCTGGAGAAAAGAGAGAGAGAGACACACACGAAGAGGAGAGGGGAAAAGAGGAGAAGGCTAGAACCCAAGAAAGACATGAAGAATTTAAATGAGACGGAAGGAAGAGGTGGACTTTGACAGATAGAGAGAAGGGCTTAGAGACATGTGTGAGAGAAGGGGGGGGGGGGGGGGGGGTGGTAGTGGTAAAAAGATGTAGAGAGAGGTGTAAGGAGTGTGAAGGGCAAGAAGCTGACAGAGAGCTAGAGAGATAGACATGGGGAGAGATATAGATCCATGGAGACAGGTCTATGGATTCTTTCAACCTCATTGGTTCTTCCTTCATTACTTTTTAAAAGACCTCTCACGCCAAAACCTATTCAAGCAAAGTTCTGAACTGAAGGGTGAATAGTTGTGCACGCTCAAGTTTTCTGTTTTTTTGTCTTATTT